AACAGGTAGCGTAATATAAAAAGGAACGGCCTGGAGGAACAGCCTAGTATCAGGCTGCTCCTCGCCCTGATGAAGTGGACTGCAAGGTTCACAAAACGTTGGCATTCCAAGAATGGACATGGACACGGAGAAAACTCGCGAAACGGATAACCTTCAATAGCAAAATTTGTTACGAATGCCGACGAAGAGAACTTTCCCTGTGTGGTAACCAATGATAGCTCCAACACCGGAAAGTGAATCGTAGGCAGTGCCATACGATCTCTTCACCTAACTACCATCCGCTACAACGGTTATATATGGAATGCCATTAATAGTTTCGTTTCTCTGTATAGCGAATTGTTTTTCAACTTCGCCTGCCTTTTTATATTTTCAAAGGCTGTTTTTTGAAACTCATCGATTAATAATTCTCGATGTTTGATATATGTTTTCTCAGACATACACGGCGTAATCACAGCTGCTAACATCTCTTATACTTGGGCATAACCAATCCCAGTCGTTATGCTTGCAGCTATCACGCCGTGTTGATGTTCATAGTTTGACCATCTCTGAGTTGTGACCAAAACTTGCCTTCATAATTGCAATTTTGGCATCTAAAGAAGAATTGCGTCAATAACCTACAACATCGCTCATTTATGAGACGCCAATTTTCAAATCGGCACGAAAATAAGTTTGCATGGTTATCAAATGTCCTATGCATCTCTTTCAAGAAGAAAGAAATATCCACAATGCGATTACCTTCAGGCTCGTGGTCTTGGATACGACTTACTATATATCCACACGGCCTGTACGGTCGACGACATACCTATCATCATTGTCATCTTCATAAATTTGGACATTCTCATACATACCTTTATTTACTGGTTTTGTGTCCAAGCATGTTTCGAAGGTACTGATTTCTTTCGAATCCATCGCATCGGGTGAGATCAATGCTACCAGTCCCGTGTCAGATTCATTATCAGTACCTTCATAATTAATGCTGGCTTCTTCAGCTATCTTCCTTCCCATCAGTTTTTTTTAACTCTGCCCGCCTACAAAGAACAATAAATATATTAATATGCAAAATAATATTTACATAGAATAGCATTTAATAATAAAAACATAAAAATATGGATATAACTGATATTATTTATCATATATTTTATTATTACGCATGTATTTTATTATTACCAAGTCTTGCTTGTTTATTATTACTACAATTTAACTATACTATATATATAAATAAATTCTTTCACTGTGTGTGTGTGTGTGTGTGTGTGTGTGTGTGTGTGTGTGTATTTGTGCGCGTGTGCGTGCGGGCGTGCGTGTGTCACTGTTACAACTGACGCTTTTGATATTTATTATAATCAGTATCATCCGATTAAACGTCTCTGATATTTGTTCTACCAGTACCGTCGAAATAGATGCTTCTGGCATTTATACTTAAGTACAATATATATGCATATGACAATACAAACCAGTACCGTTAAAATACATGCTTCTGGCGTTTATTTTGCCATTACAGTCAGGACAAACGCTTTTGATATTTTTGTCAGTATCGTCTGATTAGACGTCTCTGAGATTTATTTTATCAGTACCGTCGAAATAGACGCTTCTGACATTTATAACAAATAATAACATGCATACGGTAATACAAATCAGTACCGTCAAAATAGGCGCTTCTGGCATTTATAGCAAACTATTACACATGCATATGATATCGTCAAAATAGACACTTCTGGCACTATTGAAATACTACTAGCTACTACATAGTTACATATTACATATATACAATTAATTTCGTGTTCAATATAGAGACAAGCAAGATTGCGTTCTTATCTTTAAAAGCAATTGTAATTTTTTTTTTTAAAAGTTCATTTTTACTCGTTAGTCGAAAACGCTTCCACTTCTCCATCATCTCGGTAGAGCGAGACGGAGCGAAAATAACAAAGGATAGGCGCCAGGGCTCCACCTAGAGTCAGGTCTGTCTGAGAGTCATAGAATGAAGGAGCCGAGGGAGAACCCATTTCTCAAAATGTAATTATAGTAGCTGTTTTTTATTTTGTTTATTATGCTCGCCAGTGACACCTAAAAATTACAATAAAATGTAATCAAACATTTCTACCTTTAGTCTGGTCATCATCAATGATTCTTACAAAAACTTATGATGACCAGATTAAAGGTCGAAATTTTTTATTAGATTTTATTGTAATTTTTATTTTATATGATTGTATATTTATTTCCATAAAGTAACAAGCGTTAGCCCAAAAACCCTTTGAAACTTAAATTATTTGAATATTTAAAAAAAATTGTGTGTGCAAATAAACTACTGCCCGAGAAGAAATGTATTTTATATACAATTGTTAGATTATTATATAATATATTATACTAAATTATTAATTATATATATAGTTCTATATAATTTTATATACATATAATTATATTTACCTATTTACATAATTATATATAATTGTATGTGTGAGAATCGCTGTTTCGATCTCGACTGAGATCTCACGTGGTGGAATGGATTGGTGGACTGGACGTGCAGGACACTGAGAACTCCAATTATGTGTTGTGACGTGACGTTTTTCACAATCCGTCACAAGGGTCATTCGACCTGGCCGAAGTTGCGCGGCAAATTTGTCCTGTGTCCTCTCGACGTCGTCTCACGGGCGGGTGTGCCGACGCATGTTGCGATTTTCGAGTGATAATTTGGAGATTTTTGTCGTTGCGTGATATTGTTGTTTCTTTTTGTGAATTATTTGAGGTTTTTAGTATCGGCGGCTGCGGTAGGTAATTTAATGTGCGACACATTCCACCACCTCAAGGAGACGGCCAAGAAGAGGATAGAAGACCATATTGGAGGCCCGAGGCCACCCAGAGGAGGGGTAGCGCACAGGTGATACCGTTCTCTTTAGTTCGATATTATCGAATTAACGTCCTGAGCGTAACATGTTTCCCTGTAGCTGAACTCCTTACAGGCAATTATGCCGCGGGAGCGACTAAGGCGGCGTGAGGGGACGGCCACCTTCTGCCATAGGACGAGCAAGGGACCCCGCTGTCGGTGCAGCAAGGAAGCCTCTGCCAAAAGGAGACGTCGGACTCGGAAGATGAGTCTGCACGGGAGCACACCGATTCCTGACGACACGCCGACACGAGTAGGCCAGAGGAGACCGTTGCGAGCAGCCGAAATGACGCCAGCATTAAGTCGAATCCCGCGTGCTCAAGGATATAGGGCGCGCGACGCGATAGCAAGTCGCGAGGACTCGCGGAAGCTCGCGACCAATCAGGGCCGATAAGGCTTATCACGTGGGCCCACGGTCGCCTGCGCGCCCCCAAACCTCGAGATCTCGGGCCCGAGTCCACTTGCGCTTTGGACTCCCGAGCGAAGACACGTGCGAGAGGAGGCAGGACCTCAGCCGAGAGAAAGCGAGAGTGTCGAGAGGACTTCGTGGTGAGACGAACGTAATGTATTGTAAAGCCGCCGATTTCCGAATCGGAGGGATCGCACGTATCCGCGAAATTGTCATTGGATCCCGTGGGGGGTTGGATCCTTTCGCGAGTAACTGTGTCGCGGCTACACTCGCGCACCGCGTGATTGTGCCATCCCGTCCGATATCGTCTTGGTTTCGCTATAATTTCGAGTCCGTTATTTTGCACGCCCGCCGCGGCCACAGCCAGGTCATTCTGTATCGTATCGACGCGTTATAATTCTGTACCGTATCGTCGCGTCATAATTTTGTATCGAATTGTTGTGCCGTAATTTTGTATCGTATTGTTGCGTCGCCGTTTCGTGTCGCGTACTATCGTCGTCGTAGTAGATCCTAGATTTCAGAGGATGTTCTCGCGTGTTCACGCATTCCGAAGATATTCGTCACTGCGCCATGGATCAGCGTAACCGCGATACATGCGTCGCGTAGAATTACGCTAGACTCGAGAACTCGTCCATCAGAGAAGAGAAGCGGTTACTTAATACCG